GCAGTGTTCCAAATTCATCTTCCCATCTGCTACCTGCTCTCAAAGATAATGGAACCTCATTTCGATGTGCTTACTTCGACCATGTGCTATTGGGTCCTTCGCCAGATTGATAGCTGACATGTTGTCGATCTTCACAGTAATTGCTCCATGATCTTTCCCTGTTATCTCTTCGACCAAGTTCACCATCCAATTTGCTTGACATGCACAAAAAGAAGCAGTTACGTATTCTGCTTCGCATGATGATAATGCCACTACTGGTTCCTTTCTTGAACTCCAAGCAACTAGTGCACCACCTAGCATAAACATATATCCTGCTGTTGACTTTCGATCTTCAGCATCACTACACCAACTCGAATCAGTGTATCCCACTAACTTGCATTCTTTTCCTTTATCAGCTGCAGGAAACAAAATGTCATAATCGAAAGTTCCTTTGAGATACCTTAGTATCCTCTTCACTGCTGCTAGATGTGATACCTTTGGCTTTTGCATGAATCTACTTACCATACCTACACTGTATGCTAAGTCAGACCTTGTATGACAAAGGTATATCAATGATCCAATAAGTCTTCTGTATTGGGTTGGATCAACATCATATTCATCTGCATCTTTCGACAGTTGCAATCTTGGTTCTGCAGGTGTCGAAGTTGATTTACATTCTTTCATCTCAAATCTCTTGAGAATTTCTCCTGCATATCTTCTTTGATGTATCATTAAATCTCTACTGCTCTTGTAGAATTCGATACCAAGGAAATATGAAATCTCACCCAAATCAGACATTTCGAATTCCTTGTTGAGATCACCTTTAAAGTCTTCGATCTCACTTTTACAGCTACCTGTTATCCACAAATCATCTACATAGAGACATAGTATAAGCAATTCACTCTTGCTTCTTCTTACATATACTCCATGTTCACTTGTGCACTTTACAAATTCCTTCTCCCTTAGGAAAATTCAATTTTCTTATTCCAAGCTCTTGGAGCTTGTTTCAATCCATACATGGCTTTATGCAGCCTGTATACCTTTCTTTCTTCGTCATGTTTCACAAATCCAATTGTTGCTTAACACAGACTTCTTCGTCTAAGGGTCCATTTAAGAATGGACACTTCACGTCCATCTGACATATGTGTCAACTGTTTATTTCTGCTAGATCAACAACCAACCTGATTGTTTTGATCCTAGCAACAGGTGCAAAAACTTCATCGAAGTCTATTCCTTCTTTCTGTAGAAATCCTTTCGCCACAAGCCTTGCTTTGTGTCGAATTACTTCACCTTTCGAATTCGTTTTCACTTTGTATACCCACTTGACATCAATTGCCTTCTTTCCTTGAGGCAATTCGACAAGTGACCAAGTGTTGTTGTCTTTGATAGACTTCACTTCTTCGTTCATTGCTTTCACCCACTTCGAATCCTTCAATGCTTCAGCTGCATTAACAGGTTCGACATCTGCATAGAAAGCATAATGTACCAGTTCACCTTCATTATCTATTACATCATCTGATGTAATCATACAATCTTGCAATCTTGCAGGCATGTGTCTTGTTCTTTGAGGTCTGCTTGTACTTGGTATATCTGTTGGTTCCTCTTGTCGAACTTCTCTTTCGACTTGAGTTTTTGGCTCTTCGAATAGGATTTCCATTGAATCTTTCTTGACATTTTCAGTCCAATCTCATTCTTTAAACTCATCTATGATCACGTCCCTGCTGATCACAATCTTCTTGTTCTCTGGATCGAACAACTTATAGCCTCCTGTCGAATGATATCCAACTAGAATCATTTGACTTGACTCGTCATCAAGTTTTCTTCTCAACTGATCTGGCATATGTCTATGTGCAATAGATCCAAATACTTTCAGATGACTCAAGCTAGGCTTCACACCTGACCAACATTCTTCTGGAGTGATTCCTTCTAGCTTCTTCGTAGGACATCTGTTTAAAATGTATGTTGCAGTCGAAACAGCTTCACCCCAAAACTCTTTAGGTAAATTCTTGTCTTTCAACGTACTTCGTACCATATTCATGATGGTTCGATTCTTCCTTTCTGTAATTCCATTTTGTTGTGGAGTATAGGGTGGAACTACCTCATGCACAATCTCTTCCTTCTCACATACCTGTCGAAGTCTTTCGACACATATTCTCCACCACCATCAGTTCTCAAAACTTTGAGCTTTCGACCACTCTGTCTTTTGACCATAGACTTAAACTTGGCAAATACTTCTATCACTTCACTTTTCTTCTTGATCAGATAAGTCCACAGCTTTCGACTAAAATCATATATGAATGTAACAAAGTATTTGTTACCTCCCATCGAATCCACCTGAATTGGTCCACATACATCAGAGTATATGACTTCAAGACTAGCCTTCGACCTGCTTCCTGCATCCTTGCTGAAACTATTCTTGTGTTGTTTCGCCTGCATACATTTCTCACATACCTCGTTTGGAATGTCGATTTCTGGAAATCCTGAAATCATATTTCTTCTCTTCAAATCTCTGATGTCTCTGATGTTGAGATGGCCTAGTCTATAATGCCATATCCATTCATCTCTTCTAGCTGCAGTCGAAAGGCACTTGTGCTCCATCACATTTAGTTCAATCTTAAAGGTTCGATTCTGAGACATAGGAGCCTTCAAGATTAATCTCTCATTTGCATCAACGACTCTCATCATCTTATCTTCGATTGACACTTTATAATTCTTTTCGATCAACTGCCCTATACTGAGAAAAATGCTCTTCATGCCTGGTATGTACAACACATCGGAGATTACTAACCTTTTGCCATCTTTCCTCATAATCATAACATCACTAACACCTTCAGCTGCTAGGGTATTGTCATTTACAAACTTTACCATATTTTTTATTGAGGGTTTTATATTGATAAACCAGTCTTTTCTTCCAGACATATGTGATGAACATCCTGAATCTAAGTACCACTGGTCCTTAAATCTATCTTCATCTCTTATTGTGACCATCAGCATCATCTCTTCTTCTTCTTCTTCATGTTTTGCAAGCTTGCATCACTTTCTTGATTCTTTCGTTTTTCTGGACAATCACTCGAATAATGACCATACTTCTGACAATTATAACATTGAATGTGACTCTTATCAGGTTTTCGACCACCACCTTTTCCTCTATTTGCAACACCACCTCTTTGGTTGCCTTAGTATGGTTTTCTTTGATTCGACACATTTCCTTTGATCTGGTTTCCTCTACCATTCGATTTGTTGTAGCCACCTCTACCTCTGTCGAAACACTTTCCTTTGCCTTTGGTCTCTTTTGCTGAATGTGCCTGCAGGACCACATCACTCTTCGATTTGCCTGCAACTCTTTTGTTCATTCTTTGTTCATGAAATTCAAGCGTCCCTTGAAGCTCTTCCTTTGTCAATTTCGACAAGTCTTTCCCCTCTTCTATCGCCACCACTATGTGGTCGAACTTAGGAGCTAAAGATCTCAAGATCTTCGAAACAACAGCTCTTGTTGTTAACGCTTCTCCACATATCTTGATTTGATTTACTAGTTTTGTAACTCTAGTGAAGAAATCGGATATGCTTTCACTGTCTTCCATCTGAAGTAGTTCATACATCCTTTTGTGAGTTTGTAACCTCACTTCTTTCACCTTCTCAGCGCCTCCAAAAGACTTCTCAAGGATCTCCCAAGCTTCTTTTACAAATTCTAAATCACTAACCTTTTCGAAATTGTCTGGGCTGACACGTTGATGAATTGTAAATAATGCTTTATAACTCAGCTTCTCAGATTCTGTGTATTTCTTCTTTTCTTCTTCTGAAGCGTTTTCTCCAAGCGCTTCGACTCCATCTTTTACAAGATCCCAAAGACCTTGACACCTGAATAAGACTTTCATCTGTTTACACTAATTCTCATAGTTGTCAACTTTCAGAATTGGTAGGGTTACTGGATAGTTTGCATTTCCATAACTTGTCATCGTGAATTCTTCAATCGTTCTTGATTGATACTTCCCTTGAATCGAAACAAAGCTCTTGATACCAGATGTTGGAAACTCACCAAAGTCTATGATGAATTTCTGCCACAATGACAATTTATTTATGAGACAAATAAAGAATGAAGACAAGACAAATAATTTCTGCAGAGTTTCTCTCTGCTCACAAACTGTTAAAACTTTATTATTCACTTTGCAACTGCAAAATACTGTGAATGACTTGCTTGACTTGCTTATAAAATATGAGTTACTCCCTCTATTTATAACTGAGCTTACACCCGACGCCTAAAGCCCAAAATATTTATTTTGTTACTAAATCAAATCAAATCTATTTTAGACTTAAATCAAATATATTTAAATCTAAAACAAATCTAATCTTTTCGACATATAGTTTCGACACACTGAATTATAATTTAACACTGATGTCCTTTAATAAAGAGTCATGATTCAAATTTTCTTATTTCAACTTTATCCATCAAAAATAGAAATAAAACTTTTGGTATCTATACAATATTTTTCATTACAATTACATTCTTAGTCATAAACCTTATATTAAATAAATCACTTTATTTTAAGTAATTAAATAATGATTCTAAACATTAATTAATCCAAAAATAAAATTCTAACAACATGTCAATTTATGATCTCAAATTATCACCACCAGCTTTTAAGACCCACCGAAATTCCAATTTGATAGTTTCCTCATATTTTAGTTAACATTTTTTATAGTTATTGTTAGAAGTCTTTTGTAGCATTTTTCTTTATACTTGTTGGCATATTCATCATTTCGATAGTTTAGAGATAGAACTAAAATTGTTCGTAGGTTTCAATGTTGGATCCCAATTTATTTTTCTAAAAAAACTTGAAAATTTCCAAAATCATTACCGTAAAATTGTCGTATTCATAATGACAAACCTCAATTAGCCCCAGGTAGTGTTAGACAACCCCACCAAGGTGTTATTCTATTTAACGAAAACTCAGTACTTGCAAAATAGTACTACATATTAAAATGTTACATTTTCTTGCTAAGATCATCATCCATTGTAATTACTAGACCACAGTAGCAGGAGTTGAAGTGGAAAGATCAGCACAAGTGAATCCCTCACTTACAAGTTTGTTAATTGCATCCCTAAACTTATAATAATCCTTAACTTTATTATAAACTTGATAAGAAATTCTAGCATACCCAGTAACCCCTCCAACTTCCCCAACCCCATCTCTAAAATAAATAGGAACCTCAACCTTAAAAAACTCCCTCAAATATGTCCTAAGATTCATAGCATCAGAATCATTCATAATCCCCAAACAGGAAGGCAAACCAACCATAACCATACTTGCACTCATATGATGTGGTGTCCCAAGATGTGTCCCCCAAGCTTCCACCAACATTTCACCCATCTCAATAACACAATCATGATTCCTCTTTTTTATTCCTTCAATTCCACCTTCAAACCTATTCACAAATTCCATAACGGTTGGAACCACTAATTGAGCACTGTAATCTCTATTCCCAATCCATGCGCTTTCTATTGCTAATCCCTTTCCGTATTCATGTGACACAACAGGGTGATGCAAATCAACTGAATTAACCGATTTTCGAGCGTAGATAAAAGCTACCGAAGATGGACAAAAGAACCATTTATGTAAGTTGCTTGTGTAAAAATCTGCTCCGATTTCTTGCATGTCCACGCGCGGGATGCATCCGATCGCGTGAGCCGCGTCCACGAAAACCTGATCAACACTTTCTTCTCTACAAATATCAACTAACTTCTTCACCGGAATCACCACGCTTGGCATGGAAGTCACGTGATCGATAACAGCTAATCTAACTTTATTGTTAGTATCTTCTCTCTTTACTCTCTCCAGCGCGTGACGAAACTCGCGGATGATATCGTCTTCCGAGGTGATCGGAAAGGGAAGATGAACCTCTATGACTCTTCCGCCGGCGCGTGTGACGTACGCTTCAATTGCTTTTTTGACAGAGCCGTACGCGTAGTGAAGCATGACGACGGCGTCTCCTTTATTGAATCTTCCTTCGTGGAAAGCCCATGTGGCTTGCTGGAGAACGATAGCGGTGGCGGTGGAGGCGTTATCGACGATGGAGATCTCGTCGACGTGGTTTGCGTTGACGAGTTCTTTGATGATTGTTCGGGAATGGAGGATTCCTTTTTTGAGGTAGTTAAAGTAGAAGTGATCTGGCTGACGGAGGAACTTGAGCTGCCATTCACGTTGAGCGCCGAGGACGGAGGATGGACAGCAACCGAAGGCGCCGTTGTTGAGACGCGCGACGGTGGGGTCGTGGTGGGAGAATTCCGATTGAATTTCAGCGGCGGTGATTGGAGAGGGAAGGAGTTTGGGTTTCTTTGAAACGGTGCCGTTTTTGTGAGTTTGATCGTGGAAGGCCATTACAGAATTAGAATGAAAATCAGATTGTGATGAGATTAGAAGAAATAGACAATGATGACGGAATAAGCAACTACTAGAAAACCTATAGTGGCCATTTATTTATTTGTTTTTGTTTATTTTATTTTAAAGAAGGTTTGTTTTTTTATTCACGTCTTCTGCTTTCATTATAACACGAATAGCGCATAGTACTATGTAGACAATAACCATTTGCAATATTTTGTTGTTTCTTGCATCGTATTTGATGTCGTGTCACGTTCCACTAACTAACTATGATTAATTCATTTGATACATGTTACTAAAAAACTTCCCTAATCTGCTAATTTGATTAATTAAAAAAAACTACACAATATCATGTAGCAAGAATTTTTAGTTACGGAAGCAACTTCTAAGATTTGTTTTAGAGGTGCTAGATGCTCAAATCATGCTTTAAGTTAATAATTATTTTTAGTGGATAGGATAAGATATTTTATAGGCTTGCTGAACTAGAAGTTAAAATTAAATATGTTTTTGAAAAGTTATCTTATCTTTTTTATTGAACCACCATGCAGATTCTTTATAAATTATTAGGTGATAGATGCAAAGCTCTCAACGGAATCCGGCATACATATCAACTATTACAAGTCTTTTATCTTTCTCTCCAAAACAAAAAACAATCTTTTAGATAAACTTGCCCATTTCTTTTTTCTTTTTCACAATCACAAGGAAAATTGGACCATTTCAAATGTTTGTGGCTTCATTTTCCACTCATTGTCAATTGTCATTTTGATTAGGTGCATAGAAACCGAAGCATAGAAATGAAACCATTTATTACTTAAAAGGTTTAGAAACTAAACCATTATTTCAGGAAACCGGTTTAAATTTGTGAAATGTACTCCAACCGATTTGAAATGATGAAACCGTTTGCATTGTTTGCTTTGTAGCTTCAGTGAAGGAGATAGAAATCGGTTTGTAAATGCGATAGTACTTCACTTTTATGTCGAATTACTATTCCTGTATGCTTCGGTGTTGACTGAATAAAGAAGGAAAAACTAATGTCATGATATACTCCTGAAATATTTATTCTGTTTGATTTCAAATAATCAAAGGTAACCCCTCAGTAAAGAATGTTTTGCACATGTAACCACTCGTCACCCAACCACCGGCTGTGATCTACTCGTCTGTCCACATCATTGATCACAAGAATAATTTATTTCAATTTTTTGTCCTCTCTTCTATCTATTACCACCAACTGCCCTGTTTTTCTACTGTATTTCCCATAGGACAATAATTCTCAGTGACAAGTCCATAAAATCATTATGGTACGAGTGTTTAGGGGGTCTACTACGTGTTAAATCATGTTTATTGGGGTTGTTATAGTTAGTGTCCTAAACGAAAGTAGCCTTGATGAACTTGTCATATAAATTACAAATAACTAGTTTGGAAGTATTAAAACATGAGTTAGAAAAACCAAAGTATAAAATATACTTTTACATATGCAATAGCTCCAAAATCATGAAAGTAACTAGCCTAATTTCACCTCGTGATGCCATAAAAGGTTCATCTATACCATAAAACTTATAAATGCAATATACTGGTAGCCCCACTGATGTAGATTATAAAGTTTAAAGAGTAATACAGTTTCATTCTTGCAACGCCTCCAAATTTTGTCATTTCCCAATTTCTGTATGTGGGAGAAGAGGGGAGTTACTAACCGTGCTACTTTTTATTGTCATAAGCAGCTATATTCTGGGGCTCACATTCAGGACTAAACAAACGAACCAGCAATGCTGTGCTTGAACTTACCGTTACAGCTCCACATGCTGCCCAACGAAGACTCCTTGGAACTGTAATTCGAGGACCTGCATGACCAGCAAAGTAAAAGTTCAATGAATTGTAATGAAAGAGATTGTGAAAAATGGGCTGTGAACTTGTGATACATATTTTAATACTATTCAAATATATATTAAGTGTAAATATATAAATAAACTCAATACAAGTGAAAGTACAAAACAAGTTGTTGAGAGCATCATACTCCATCCGTGGAAAGAAGAAAAATATAGAACAAAATGAGGACTTACATATTTCATTTGACATATATACCAAAGATACGGTTTGAAGGGAAAGAGTTAAATGATATTTAAAACTTCATAAAATCTTTTTAAGATGAAGTCCAGCCATCCAAGCTTGGAAGATGGGTGAATCGAAAACTATCACCTCATTTTTTCCTGCCACTCCGTTGCATTGAACTCTGTGTTTGAGTGTGTATGAGTTTGAGAGAGGATTTGAGTTTGGTCTAGGTTGGATTAGTTTAAAATTTATGGGAACTTCTCAATTAAATTAAGTTGCAAAATAATCTTTAAACCTAACACTAGCACCCTCATTTTTCCTAAGAAAAATAATTATTTATCAGAACTTGAGTTTATTGTGAGATTTTAAAAATAAAAAAAAAATTCAGTAAGTGTTTCTTGAAAAAGCGGTCTGAATTGACTCTTGAAGGATTGAAGAAGCGGCTAATATCTACTCTCTAGGTGTCCATGACCTGGAAATTAGGAGAAACAAAATAGCAATTACTACTTGCTCAATTCAGTTGCAGTAAAACAACAGTATGGAAAGGCATAAAGATCAGAGCAGAAAATTGCAATAGTCATGTTGCCTTACAGTTGTTAAAGTGATTTTGTTGCCTTTTTTATTTACTTTAAGTTTGCAAGCAAATGCACCATAATGCTGTACTTGCTTTGATCATCATCTTCATGAAAGCAATATTAAGGAGCAATATTTGTATGAATAATTAAAAACAAGGACTAGAAATATGCAAGGGCTCAAAGGTAGTAACCACATACTAAAAGAAATTTATAACAGGAATCATGCAATACATATTGGAAGAGGCGTCAGAAAGCAGAGCTTAAGACATTTATATATTAGAACTGAACTTTCAAAAGCAGTAGCCTGCAGGAGACTGAGAGACATAAATGAAGAACAGAAAAAAAGTAATAGCAAAAAGTAACAAACCATAGTGCATTCGGCAAAGCACCCAAAATCCCAATGCACCACCAACACTGAAGATTCCGGCTGTGTGTCTCATTAGTCTAGAACAAGGTTTTGCATCAGACCTCATGACCTCGCCATCAGAATAGCCTAAGATACGCCTTAGTGACATTGTATCAGTTACCTGCAACGACATCGTGTTAGAACACCCAACTCTAGCCCATGTGGATCAGGGCCAAAAATCACACAAATCTGCGGCCTATACAGCCAGCCCATGTACCTTGTCAGTAACACTTTTCACGAAAACAAATTGGCCAGGCTTATTCTATGGGCAATCCCACTCGAAAAGCTCGATGTATATATAAACTAAAAGAACTTCAAAAAAATTGAAAAAATGTAATTCAAGAAAATTTAATCTTTGAGTTTGAATATTGCAGTACTAGATTTTTTTGTGACAGAAAAATTGCAGTACTAGATACAGCAAGGAAAATAATGCATAAAAATGCATAAAACCCTATTTGGCACAAAAATAAACAGAAAGTAATTCATACAAAGATGATGAAATGTATGACAAATAAAAAAGCACAAAAGCCTTGATGTTTTGGCTAGTTTCAAGTCAAGTACCGAAGACAAAAAAAAATCAAATTCAGATTTCAACTAAAAAAAAGCCTTGCTTCCTTGCCTAGTTAAAAACTTAAAATTGAGTAGAACAAACCACAAATTAAACCACGGCTATTGACTAAGATAGGTTCCCTAATAAATCATTACAACCTACCCCCATTTAACATGCTGTCATGCTTACAACAGGAACTTGAGATCAGGCATATGCCATGTAATTGGCATCGTGAAAAGTAGTGACATTAGATACTTAATTGGGGCAACACATAACCAAAACAAGAAGATACATTAGATAGGCATTTCTCAATTGGAGCAACACATAACCAAAACAAGAAGATACATTAGATAGGCATTACTCAATTGGAGCAACACATAACCAAAAGAAGCATTCAATCGAAACTAAAATCTTGATAGCATTTGTTTGCAACACCCTTAATAACCTCTCTTCGCAAATAAAACAGAACTACTTTAGAATGCAAATAGCACAACCATCTCCCACATCCATTCCAAACAAACCAGCAACAACTCATAATTCTTCTGACACTAAAAGGCAGTGGGATGAGGGAGTTAATAGAACAAACAAAAGTCCCACCATTCTACATTTCTAGACCAAGTAGCTATCTTGATTCTCAACCAAATAGCTCAAACAAAAGTTCCACCATTCCAACTTTTAACAAATTGGGAATTACTAAAGCAAAAGTTTAAGATAAATGACAGTTACAGAAAGCTAAAGAAAAATTATTTGTAGCAAAATGGGTGGTATAAAACAAAATCATAAGATAAAATTTTCAATCCAAGAAAGAATCTCGTTGAGACATTTTCACAAACAGCTTATAAGTGCGCATATTAAACAGTTACAAACATTAAGGACTGACATCTTGCCACACCCTTTCAGCTTCTCCAAATGAAACTAGAGATTCATAGGACTCTAATAATCAAATAGACACTTCACTATTATCGAAAAAATCAAAACATTCAGTCAAGGGGTTGGTGGGTTAGAGAGTTATGGCACCTTACCGGTGACGAATTCTGAAGATTTCACTGCTGAAAAATGGAAGAAACTTCGTGTTCTTTCTACCGGTTGTGGCGTGGTTCACTTGGATTTGTTATCGTACAGAAGAAAAGAACCCAGAAAGTTGCAATGCAATATGCGATTGCTGAGAGTAACTATTACTCCCCTCGACACCGAGATTAAATTTTTTTATATGAGAAACTAGTAAAGGATGGAGTGTTTGATATAAATATTACGTAATTATATATTAAAAAAGATATATAAATTTAAAGAAAAATAAAATAAAAAATTAAATAAAAATTTATTTATATGTTTATACGAATCACGTAATATTATTATAAATAATAAATAAATATAGTATAATGATAATTAAAAAATACATATAAAAATATATAAATTAAATAAT